TATATATATATAAACATTCCGATTTTAGGGAATATGAAATCAAATTAATGAATCGCACTTACCGATGGTCTCCCAAAAAGAAAGAGGGAAATGAAGCTAGAATTGGAGTTGACAAAGGAAGGGGCAAAATAGTCTTTACGGTTGAAAAGCTTTTAGTTTACGCAACCTTAATAAAGGCCAAACCCCACAGATCCAACTTTTTTAGCATGTAAAACTTTATGGTCATCTTAGGGTTAAGGCCATCTATCGTCCCTCTACTATGCAAAATAGTACATTCTAAACCTTCTACTATGGATTGGCTTCATGTCGTCCCTCTACTATCAATTAACTCTACCTATTATCCCTTTACAATGCAAAAGCATGCACTTGTCGTCCCTCCATCCACTGTAAGGTACGGTGCTCTTTATTGACTGTTAAGTGTGACGATATTGACTGTTAAGTGTGAGATAACACCGGTTAAGCCTTTTTTAATAATTTTTTTTTACCTGACCTTGTGGGACCCACCTTACCACATCATCTCTAACAGAACTTTTTTACCTTACCGTTGCCTCCCGAACATGTATTCGTGGTAACTATAGAATTTATAATTTATAATTTTCAAATATGAAAATCCCATCATTTTGATAAGATAATGGATAAATAAAGATAATAATTTTATTATTAATCAGTTTAAAAATACAAACTTTTCAGATTTTTAAATTAAAAAATAAATTTCCTTTTTTTTTTTCAAATGATAATATAAAATTTTACAATCTTTTTTATTTTTTTTAAGATTTATAAGAGAATAATAATAACGTAACAAATAATAATTTTAATCATAAGAAGATAATATTTATGTATTTAAATTAAAAAAGTGAAAATTTATCATTATATACTTCAAAAATCAAGGAAATTTTAGGTAATCTCATAAGATACTTAGATGTATAGTTTACTGACATATTTAGTAGGAATTAGTTTTTTTTTGTTTAATTTAAAATTTTTAAAAATTTAAAAAGTAAAAGTTTACTATTTAATTTAAAATTTCAAAAAATTTATTTCAATAAAAAAATGACAAATTCATATTTTTATTTAACCCATTTCTATTCATTTGAGAATTCACCAAAATTTCAAATTTATCCGAATAGAACACCAATCATTATTTGTGCGGATGCAAAATATTTCATTCAAAATCAATGGATTCCCTTATCATTCTTTGCAATTTTCTTTCTAAAAAAAATAGGAGGTTAAAGATGCAAATAATTTCATTTAAAATCAAACAAAATACAAAGAAAGGAGAAACTGTCGCATTTGAGTCTTCAAATTCAGTGACGTCAGGCCATATATAAGTGTATTCTTTTCAGGGCAAAACGTTGGAATCCGATCCATTGGGAATTTGTTCAAAAAAAAAATAAAAAAAGAAAGGGGAAACTGTCACAAAGAAATTGAAAAAAAAAAAAAAAACCCTACTATATCTCTCAGTATCTCATCCTCATCATAACCATCGACATGATCCATACCATACTCATCACCTGAATTCAAATCTACAGCCAAAGCCCCATTGTCATTGTCCTCTTAATCTGACTCAAAGCCAACCAGCCTAACACTTTCCCTGTGGGGTTCAAGTTTGACTTCAACCCCACCAACAGTGGAGGTAGCCCCGCTGGAAGCCAAACTTGAAACCCTTCTCTCAACCTTCCTCTCCACAGGGAAATCATCATCATCACCACCAACATCTACCTCAACATCACTGCCACCAATAGTTTCAACAACAAAAACAAAATTACCATAGTGTGTCTCTACAGAACCAAACCCTAACCCTAAATCTAACTCCAAATCATCCATATACAATTCATGGGTTCCATTAATAACATCGAAACCCAGATCAGTTAATGCATCGGGGACCAAATCAACAGGTTATTGTTTGGATTGCTAGTGGTACTATCGGAAATAGATCAAATCAATACCTGGGACGACAAGACATGGTGATGGTTATGATGATGAAGATGATATGGGCCCACAAGACAAGGTGGCAAAAAAAAAGAAAAAAGAGCCTAACCGGGTGTGACCGTTTGCACTTAACGATCAATAAACGGGACCATTAGTTTAATTGGACGGAGGGACGACAAGTGCATGCTTTTGCATTGTAGAGGGATGACAGGTAGAGTTAATTGATAGTAGAGGGACGACAT